GAGAGTCAACCATAGCAAAATGAATCCAGTGCCATCCATACAAATAGACCCAATCAAATCCCATGCCAGCTCATGGTGATCAAAGAAAGATTGGATCAGCTTGAACTACCAGTACTCAGAAATCATGTCCCATACCCCCAAGGGGTATGGATACCCTCTGGTTAAGAAGCCCTCATTTAGATGGAGGTAATATGAAGTACTTGGGTATTTGGATATGTTGTCATGCACAAGGTTGACTTTGGAAGTAATTTTCTTGACTAAACAATAACTGTCAATAACAGATACAAAAGAACTAAATCTTCAAGGATGGCACTTATAACCAGAAGTTTGTTGGTCAACCCTCACCTCAAAATTATCATTTGCATTGCAAAATGAAAAAAATAAAAACACATTTCCTGAGGATTTTAGCTTCCAAATAAATGCTGACAACTTTATTTATTCCTCTTTCTATTGCATATCCACAAACTAATTCAAATCTTTTCGTTGTTTGTATTCGTACTGAAAATCTAGATCGAACGATGCATACTAAATGCATCGTCAAAATATGCTGAAAATCGGGCCTATTTAATTCAAACATAACTTTTTCTAAGATAAGCTGCATCATTTGTTTTTTGTTTACCTAGGCAGATGCCTTTTTCATAAAGACTTATTTTTGGATGCAGCTTGTGTCCCTGCTTCCTTGTATAATTTTATTCTTGGAAGAACAATTTGAATGCATTTTACACACTGTAAAATTTGGCCAATTTCTTCTTTGTTGATGGCAAGGAACTGTATTTACTCCTTACATGCACATTTCATAAAATCCTAACACACTTTGCCTGTGCTCCTTCAATAGCCTGAATACATCTACATTCCATGGCTGAACACCCTGTGCAGAGGAAGACGGACAAGGATAATCTACTTGACAGCTTTGGCAACAATGTTTTCCATAGTGAGAGGGAAGCCATGGCCATCAAAAAGCAATACAACAAACTTGTTTTTATTGACAAGTTGTACAAATGACCAATGAAACTGTGTCAGATCTATTCACTTATCTGCCAGTGACTGTGGATGTACAGTTATCAGGGTTTTCCCATGTCCATCTCTCCTACAATTACCAGTGGAGCTGTGAATTCTCTAGCAGCTAAATAGAACTCTATACATGGCTTTTTGACATGTTGCTATCATAAGGTTAGGTCTCTTTTGAAGAAGACTTTCTTTTGATTGGGATTAATGCTGCATCTGGTCTCATTGCAATTGAATATTCATTTTGCTTCATCTTGGGCATGCAAAATAGCAGTTGGATGTATTTCAAACTTCTTCTGCATGCAATTTGTCACTTCAGAAGACATTCTTTTTAACCTAGCTCTAACTACAAGAGCTAGATCCTTCTTGATAAGCAAGGAGGCCAGCTCTGTGCTAGCAAAATCTACTCCCCCCCACTACCACGGGATTTGATTACCCAATCAACTTTTGCTTCACATGCTATTTGTGCTGCTAAATTAGATTGAGTAAACGATTACAATGGGCAGCAAACAGCCCAACTTTGGATTTCAATACATACAACCACTTATTCTTAACTACAGCCCCCTTCCCATTGATCCTTGCTGATTTCGTTCTTAATAAAACTGTAGGGGGAGAAATTGCCAACGTCCCAGTGATAAGTCAGTTTTAAATCTTTATATAGGTAGGAGTGAATTCGGGTGGTATTCAATGAGTTTTAACCAGGAATTTTCTTAATTTCCAACAGTTTCTATTTCTCACGGTAACGGTAAAGTACCATGTTTTTATACTCCCTCTCTTTCTTTTCTAACGGTTCTATACTCGTCATTAGACCTCAAATGACAACCTTAATCAGTTGATATTCCATTTATTCCAATTAACAAATGGGAGGCAACAGAATAAACAGGCACTTAAAAAGATTATACAGGGTTTTACGGCAAAATCCGACACTTGCCAAAAAGAAAACAAAATAGGCAATAAAAACAAAAGTTGTATATGCAGAGACCCGGCAGTTTATTTAGCAACAGTTAGTTACATACTACATTATTTTTCAATGTAACCTCCAGCGACGACTACCATCTCAAGGCAGGCACGAAATGAGTTGCATGCTTTGGTGACCATGTCCTTGTCCAGAGCGGCGAACACCTCCACTATGGAAGCTTTCAGAGAGTCAACCCTATTGTGGCCGTGCTTGTTGGTCTTGGCCTCAATCATGCCCCAGAAGAAATAGTCGAGTTGGTTGCAATCAGGTGAGGAGGGCAGCCACAAGTCTGACGACCAGTGGTGAGGAACATTGTTGAGCAGTCACGCTCAGGTCGTCTTGGCCTTGTGTGCCGGAGTGGAGTCAGACTGGAATACGTAGGGGCATCCAGTTGTGATCTTGTTCATCCAGGGCTTCACCATGCTCCTCAGCACCTCCTGGTAGATCTCAGGGGTGACACTCAGGCCCTTTTGAAAGAACAACAGAGATGATGCCAAGGACCATGACGGAGGAGGGAAACTTTGTATGCTTAACAATGCGAACCTCCTCGACGTCTTTGCAGATCCACCTGTCATTCTGCCTGTTGCTCGTCTGGTCCTAGATGAAATTCTTTCCATCAGAGAAGAACCTCAGCATCCCAGCGGACCCGTGCTTGAACTTGTTTAGCAAAACTGCCGCCTTGACCTTCCTTGACTCCTTGGGGGCATTCATGATGAGCATGCGGTGAGACTTGCATTAGCAGGAGTAACCAATGTCCTTGATCGTTCAGCAAATCCTCAACTTGTGACAGCCCATATCAGTGGCGATCTTGGCGTAGCTCTGGCTTCCATCGTTGTCGACCGTCTCCTTGATGGCGGCAACGAACTCGTCGGTTGTAACAGCTGAAGAACGAACGTTGTGGGCATTTCATTTGGCAGCAAACTGGTTCTTGTTCTCTCACGCCTTCCACTTCTTCCAAATGGCCATGGTCCCCCAAACAGGTCATCACTTCCGCAGGCTTCTTCCCAACGTGAAAAGAAGCTACTAGTGCTGCTCTGCACTCTTATTTCATCCTGGAAAAGGGTAGAGAAAAACCTTAGTTGTCAAACTGTCAGGTATCTGCATATACAACTTTCATTTTTATTGCCTATTTTGTTTTCTTTTTGTCAAGTGTCGGATTTTGCTGCAACACCCTGTATATGTCAATGACTCTGTGTGTGTCAATGACTGAAGAAATATCAGAGATAGAGCGTGTGTAAATAGAAAAGTGAACATTGAAGTCAACACGGTGTTTCATGCTAGACACAATCGTCAGGCCACAAGTGTTTTTTTTTTTTCTTTACTTTTTTCTTCAGCTCTTTATGTACATGGGTCAGTGGTGCATTGTGGATAGTCTATTTTGGCAGTTATTTTGCTTGTTTTTATTTATTTTTATTTCTTAGCATATATATTTTTTTTTATTGTAATTGGTGTGTTAACGTAGTAAAAATTTGTTTTATATTGCTTATTTAATTGTTTTGTTTTAGTTTGGGAAGATAAAGCTATTTATTCAATTTTGGGGTTTACTGTAGTTTATTCTATTATTTTGGTGGGAGCAGTTTTTAATTTGTTTATTACTTCATTTATTTATTTGGATTGATTATCTTGTTTTTTTTTCTAACAGTTAATTTATTAGGATGGGTTTATTTATTTTACTTGTTTTTTTTTTTTTTATTATTTATTTATTATACTGTATATTTTTATTTACTCTTTTGAGTTTCAATTTTTAAGTAACATTGGGGTTTTTTAATTTTTTTTTTTTATCATTATATAACAGTTATAGTTGTGTTTCCTATCTGATTTTTGCTTTGATTTTTTTATAGTCTAAGTAATATTTTGGTCATAATGGTTTGTTTAATTTGTTTATTATTTACTTTATTTCGGTTCATTGATTTTGTTTTTTATTTTCTATTTATTTATTCTCTTTTGTCTATTCTAACAGGTGTGATTTGGTAATTTATTTTACTTATTTTGTCATTTTGTTTATTTTCTTTTTTCATTTCGATTTTTAAGTGACATAGTAAAAATTGTTTTCATGTCTGCATTTTGAGATGAGCTCAGATCATTTATTTAATATTTTGTTCTGGGAAGGTAATGATAGCTATTTTTTCCTCCAAGCAAAGTTTGCAAATTTTGGATTAGTTGTTGTAGGCTGATCTTTTCCTTGTTTTCCAAGATATTTTTGGTGTGATGTGCGCTTTGTTTTTAATTTCCCAGATATACTTAGAAAGCATTGTGCTGTTCGTGTATTTACTATTTGTGAAATATGTTTTGTGTGCATAGTTTCTTTGTTTCTAGTTACTTGAACATTTGAAATAGGACCTTTGTCCGGACAAAGGTCATATTTCAAATGTTCAATGACAGTCGTATTAGTAGTATTATAATAAAATATAATAAAGGAAAAATGCCTGCGAACAAAGTTTTCTGAGGTGCCCCCTCTAATTTTTCCTTTGAACCTTCGACCGTGATGAAATATTAATATTTTGCGTGTGTGCAGTTACATCCTGTTTAAGTACGCGCTGAAGTTGTTTATTGTCTACAGTCGAAGGTTAAAGGTTTATTTTTAGAATACTTACACGTGTCCGCACTGAAATTCTTTTTCTTCCACAGTCGAAGTTTAAAGGTTTATTTAAAGAATTATTAATTAAGATTATATTGGAATCAAACTTTAAACTGGAATTTTTTCCAAGTTAACGCCATCGACTGTGGAAAAATTCCAGTTTAAAGTTTGATTCCAATATATTTAAATAAAAAACTTTAAAACTGTGCTTTGATTTAAAAATTAATTTTTATTCGCCATTTTGTTTACAACTTTGCTTTGATTTGAAAAAGTTTTTTGTCGGCCATCTTGGATTTTTTTTTTTTTTTTTTTTTTTTTAAGTGTCTCTGTTTTGGTTATAAATTAGCTTTTGAACTAAAAAAATAAACTTTTTTTTTTTTTTAGTTCCAAGCTAATTGATTTGAGAGTTTATATTGTAAGTAGTGTATGTGAAGAGTTTATATTAAATTTTTTGTTTGTTTAATGTTCTTGTGTTTGCGTGTCATCGATTTCTGTTGCCAGTAGCTCGTCGTCGCTTTCGGTGTTGTCTTTCCAGCGTCTTTTTCTGGTTTGGTTTTTGGGTGTTGCGTAGTATTTCCAGTACTCAGCACTGCAGTCTGCCATGCTCCTCATGTGAGCGGCGCAGACTTGTGCTGCCTGTTCGTCATCGAATCTGCATCCCGGCAACCCTGGACGTTCGTCCTCTTGTTGTAGTTGTGCGGCAAGGGTTTTTTTTACCCTGTACAGACGTCTTCTCTTTTTGGGTGACGCTCCGTCCCACTGAATAAAGTATAGTAGCGTTTTTGCCTGCTTAGGTTCGTCGTCGTCCATTTCGAGTTCGGTGAGTATCTCGTGGTACTCGTTGTTGGCATATTTGTCGATGTGTCGTTTCCACACCGTAAGCCACATTAGCGGGTTTAATTCTACCTTACCCCACTTTTCCAGTCTAGGCATTGATCTGGTCGTGGTGTAGTGGTACATCCTATTTAATATGGCTTCTTTCTCGTGTAGTACCACCTTCCACGGCTCGCTGTTGCTGGTCGAGATGAAGGGCGTGCGTCTGAGTAGTCTCTCGTTCTGATGTTTTACGTTCACGTACGTCTCAGTCCCTTCCAGTATACATTTAGCCTCTTCGACGTTTTGTGGAGTGAACCACATCTCGTCCGTGTAGATCATGGTTTTGTCTACACATGTTCCGAACGTGAAGTTATCTGACGCCTGACACCTCATCCTGCCGCAATTCATCAGTCCGTTCCTTATAGATCTTAGGACATAGGATTTTCCGGAGTTGCTCACGCCGGTTATGTGGAGCGATTTCACCTTTGGCATTATTTTATGGCAAACCCTGAACGTGTCTCTTGCGAACTGTTCGATGTCTATTCCGTGGTGCGTGCACCACTCTTCCAGTATATTCAGAGACTGGACTATGCTCCAATACCGGTTCTTGTCTCTCGTGAAGAAGTCCCGTTTGTTCGCGATCTGTTCCCAGATCGGAGTCACTTTACATTCAATGTTTACGTCTGTTACTGCCGCCGCTATTATCGTGTTGACGTTGGCCTTGTTTTTATAGAACTCGTCCCACTGCTCTGTGTATTGTTTTTTTATACTATTTTTGCAGTAGACGATAACGTCTCCGAGGTCGGTGCTGTTGCACCGCTTCATCATTTTTTTAACAAACTCGTATTTTTTTCCTCGTACAGTCGTTCTTTTTTCCACGAGTTCGTCTCCGCTGCTGGCGCTGTCGCAGTCTGCCGGCTGTTTGTTAGTCAGTTGTTTTAACATCGTTCTTTGGCCGTTTGTCGATATGTTTCCGCATGCCACTACTTTGCGAATGTCGGCGTCGGTCATTAGATACTTTGCCAGTCCGTACGGGTTGTACACCCTCTGACATTTCATGGCGTATTCCTTTTCGGGTTGTGTCGCCATTTAGCTTTTTCAGCATTCTGAAGCTGTGAGTTGAGGTAGGATGTTCAGCGTGGAAATGATCTATGTCGTTGCAAGCCTTTATCTTGCTGGGACCCGCTTTGTGGTGTACTTTGATGTACGGGTGTTTGTTGGCTATGTATCATAGATATTTTTTCTTTTCGTCAGGTCTGTACGTCAGCGTGTTTTTCATTGTTCCTAGCGTGTCTTGGACATCGTATTTAAATTCTGTTGGGCTGTCCCATCTGTATATCCAAGTGTACACTTTTAATTGCTTGCCGTTGGTCATTTCGTCGTTCAGTACTGCTTCGTTCACGGTTTTGGCTTCTTTGATTTGTGTTGCCATCGTTTTTTTTTGTTTTGCTGTTGTTGGTTTAGGACATGTCTTGACTCGACCTTGGCCGCTTTTTTGAATGAACACCCGCTCGCTGTCTGGTGTCTCTTATATGGCTCGCCTTTCCTTGTTTCCGCCTTCGGAATGTCAAGTGGTTATTGTTATTTATTTACTTGTTGATGTATTTTCCTGAGTTTGTCGCTGCCGTTGTTGTCTGTTTGTTATTTCCTTTGTACACGTGGACAGTATGTCCGTGAGCCATCCCTTTTGGATTGTGTCCATGAAAGTGTCTGTTTGGAACGTTGATGAGGTTCCTGTCGAAGTCGTCGTGAGTGCCTGCTTCCGCCTGCGCCTTTGTCATTAGCGGTACTTTTTGTGGATGTACGATAGTCGTACCAACATTCCACTTCTAGAACGTAAGTGATTTCAAAGTTGAAATATAGCGTGCCTATCGCGCCGTTCGGTCTGATGATCGGTGGTACGTGTATTAACACTGGCTCCGGCGCGTCTTCATTTGTGTACAGCACCTTGTTGATCGCCGTCCTGTTTGCCACGACGAACGATCCGGTCGCTCTCTTCCAACCTGTTCCCAGCTGTAGGTCTTTTGATTTTTTTGTGTCGTTTGTCTTGCGTAGCTGGTGGTGGTCGAAGGTCATGTCTGCCACCTCGTTCATGCTGACATTTTCCATGGCGTCAGTTCTCATTCTTTTTCTCGCTACGTTGTGATAGAGGTCTGTTTCTGCGTCTATTGCGTACGTGCCGTAGTCAGGCGCCATGCTGATGTCCAGGCCAAAGTCCCATCCCGTCTTTATGTCGTTGCTGAGGGAACTACGCATCACTTCGGGTTGGCTCAGCATGCTGCCCGTTATCACGTAGTTGTCTTGAGTGTACATGTTTGTCAGCGGTTTTCTCAGAAGCGAGTGGTTTTGCCACAGGTGCGAAAACGAGTCTCCCTGTCTTAACTTTTTGATGCTCAGCATCTCTCGCCAGTCGTGTAGGTCTATCATGTTAACGTTTGTCTCTTCCGTCATGGCTGTGATGTTTCCCGAGTTAGGTATCGAGTTTACCATCTGTATAGGCGCTCCGTACGCGTAGACGTATTTGCACAGCTTGGCGTCGTTTGCCGTCATAGGCTGTATATATTTAAACCCGTTGTTGGGCATGTCTGATAGTGATATGAGGTTGCCGTAACCTATGTACTGTCCCTTGTCTATGTATATGTCGAAGTATGGCTCCTGGTTAAGCACAAATACTTCTTCGTTGCTTTTGGTCGTCCATTCTCCGCATATGTTGTCGATGGTAAATCCTACTCTGTTTACCCTGTAGCGTGTTTTAGCGTCGCTTCCCATTTGATTTGCTGTACCCAAGTCGTCAGGTGGTCGGGTACTATGTAGTCCCTAGACTTTACGTATGCCCAACAGTAGTGTCCGACGTTGTGTATCCCTTCCTCGTTTTGCTTGTATTTTTTGAACGTGCCTTTGACGTTGTTCATGTCGGTTGTCTTTACAAGGTTCTTGAACTTTCGCTTAAATACGAACTTTCCGGCCATGTTGCCGCTTTCGGTCGGCATGACTGGACCGATCGCCTCTGCTGACCATCCTCCGTCGTTACCCAATTCGGGTGCCTCGTTGCGGCCCGTGCTAACTTCCATGCTTTCCGTGCTATCAGTAGCGCTACTATCGACAGTATCGCGTACGTTAGCTTCGTTGTCTGGTCTAAAGTATTGGTCGAGTCCCGCCGCGTGTTTGAGCCTGATGAGAGTGTGAAAAGCTGCGCCAAGTAGTCCAGTGCCCTGAGTGTCTTCGTAGAATTGTTCATCGGTGTCTACTGTCGATATGTTGTTGTAGTTTAGATCGTGTGTTTTAGCTGCCTGGTCTAGCTTGCTTCTTGGTACCGCAAACTTTAGTCTATCTAAGTCTGTTCCTGGCCCTAGGAAGTCGTGTCCAGGTACTGTCCACTCTGTTCTCGTTCTCTTAGCATACGGCTCGACCAACGCCCCTGGCTTTTTTCTCTTTATTGGTGGCATCCTGTTATGTGTCCTCGTCTTTTAATTTTACATCCTGTTCATGCGGTTTTTTTTTTTTGTTGTTTTTTTTTTTTAAGATTATCTCCCTTTGTTAAGTAGTGATTATCTTCCCTTATAAAAAATATATCTCTTCACAGGCGCAGGTTTTAAATGAAACTTAGAGGATGCACATATTAACTCCTCTCTCTGGCACGGTGCTACTCGATAATGACTGTATATATTGTTCAAAAATAAAATCCAATAAAGTCAATATAGTTACTCCTATGTATACTTTTTCTTCATTATCTAGTGATTTTATTGTGGCTTGGTATATTACGTTGTCTTGTAAGCAATTACCATTTAAGGGCCATTCATTCTTTATTCTGCAGTTACACATGGGTTTAATTTGTTTGTATGGTTTGTTGATAGTTTTCCTGTTGTGCTTCTTTATTATTTGTGCCATCTTCTCTGTGCAACTGTAGCTGATTTTTGTGTTTTGTTGAATATTTTGTGTAGAGTGCTTGATTCCGGGAAGTGTTTGTGTAAGAGTTTGAAGAATATTTTTCTTATATTTGCTGTACAGTGGGTTGAACTATATTTTTCTTTTCCTGTTGGCCTTTGTTGTGTTCTGTGGTCAGTGTTGCTGGGAATCTACTATCTTTTAGAGCTGTTTTGTAGTCTTTCTTTGCTTTGTTAATTATGGATTCATTGGAAGAATTGTTGGAAAACCTGTGGTTGATTGATTTTGGTATCTGTTTCATCATAGAAGGCAGGTGATTGGAAGATATGTGTATATAGAGTGGTTTATCATTGGGTTTTCTGTATGGTTTATATGTGTCTTTTCTTAGGTTGAAGGTAACATCTAGAAAATCTACTTTAAGTTAGTTTTTATATCTGTCGAATCCGTTATTTTCGAAATCTTTATTATTGCTTTTCTAGTTTTGTCTGTGTTTTGTTTGTTACAGTTCCTTAAGATTGAGACCATATTCCCTGTAGAGTCCTGTGTCAATTTGGTTGCTGAAATAAAAACCCGGCTATTTGTCGAGAGCATGCAGAAAGGTTCTTCATGTAAAAGTACATAATGTGACGACAGTCAATAAACTGACTGAAATATTCAGCATTAAAAAGTCTCTAGAATATGAGACAAGAAGAATAATTGCCTAGTCATTTAGGCTTAATTTTGGGCGCTAAAGTCCCTGCAATTTGAGAGAAATATGAGTCCTGTCATCTCAAAGATTTTGCAGCAACTGAAAAAAAAAAGGCACGGGCAGGTGAAAATGCCCGCGAAAAGCAAAGGAAAATTCAACCAAAGAGCTTGGTTGGTACAAAAATACGGTGTGGCATAAATTAGCCAATAGGAGCTTATCTTTAATTGCAGAATTTCTCACACACTGCCAAGGAAGAAAGGAAAAAGTGATGGTTAATCATTACTTTTCTCCAATAAGGATAAAGTAATTAAAAACTGTCTATAGGTGACAGGTAACAAGTTTGTCCCTAGGGACTTAACTGTTGACTATTCAGTTAATTATTATTATTATTAAATTTGAATATGCTGGCCTTGTCTGCTGTTAATTAAATTGCAACAATAATCTAGATATTTAGATCAGTATATCTATAAAAAGGGAGGTGACTTTTACTTAAGTCCAATAACCACGAGTTTAGAAAATTCTCGGGAATCTGATGATCCCATGGTAAGTTATTCTTCCATAATGACTAATAATGTCGTTTTTTGACGTTAAAAAATACGTCAAACGACATTACGTCATTATTTTTGCAGCGACCTAATATTTTGCTTAGTTTGTGTAGTAAGTATATACCTATCATTTTGCAGGTCTCTAGCACCATTAAAGCTTCCCATTGTATTGTCAAAGATCCCATCTCTCTTTATCCATGCTGCTTCATTGTGAAATAGTAATGATTTACGGGAGTGTTTAATGATGTCAATTTCATTTGGTTTTATGTTCCTGAGCTAAGTTGATGGCCTTATCTAGCATGGGTTCTGTTATGGATGGGTAAAATTCTTTTATGCCTATTTGAAGGAATTGCCAATTTTGTTTGTTGTTTATGCTGTGAAACCAGTCAATAGATGCTTTTGTGTTTTGTCCACTGGTTTACTCCTAAGTTCAGAATTAATTCTTTCTAGTATCCTTTTACTTATTTTACCTAGTTCGCTTTTGGTTGGGTTTATGAATCTGCATGCAGGGTTGATTCTGAAATTTTCTTTATGGTCTTTTAGTGTGATAAAGGCTTGCGCTTTATGATGCAACTTATTCGGTCATCTAGGTCTAATTTTTGGGTGATTGTTTTAGCTTCCTTATTGATATTGTGTTCTATTGTTTTTGGTGCCTTTTTTCATGTTTTTGTTTTGTTCTTGAGTAATTTACTGTGTGTGGGAGGGTTTAGTTTTCTCAGCTGCGATAAATACATTTGCTGAATTGTTTTAGTTATATCTTTTTAGTTTTTTTTAAATACATCTTGTTTTTTATGGAATTTTATGTTTCTAACTAAGTCAGTTAAGTCTTTCTCAAAGTCATCTAATTCTTTTTGTTGCAGAGGGCATTTTTTGGTTTTGAAGCTGCATTTTTCCTTGAGTGTATTATTGTGAAGGTCCTGGTTTAAAAAGTGGGTTTTCCATCTCATTCTTTTTGTCAAACTTTGTTGTTTTTTTTTTTTTTTTTTTTTTTTTTCAATTAATTTTAGTTTATATATAGACAGGGATGGATAAGTTTATTCGTGAGTAGTCGAGGCTAAATTTTTCTATGTCCATACAGTATTATAAATGTAGCGAAAGTGCTCTACTATTTATCGGGAGCTGAATATGAAGAAATATACTCTTAAGGTGTGCTATATTTATAGGATAAAGAGCTCTATATCTGAGATCGAGCATGTGTAAATATATAACTTAAGAGTGCTCAATAGAGTTAACTAGAGCTAAAATTATTATGTTAATAACTATACTTGGTTTGTGTGTAATAAATATATATATATATATATATATATATATATATATATATATATAAGCATTTAGGTGGAACCTAGTTAGGTAGTTTCTGGCTCACTAGGACTTTTATATATGATTAGAAGAAAGAGTCCACATGTGCTTCTTTATAGTATGTAAAATAGATATTTTGATTAATAAAACAAGGGCAAACAAAAGGGTACCAATGTGATCGGTACGAAAGACATTTATTAAATATTAATTATTAACCACAAAACAAATGAAGCATGGAAATTAAGGTTTTAAGTTCAGAATTTTGGGGCATGCCTGTGTCCTTCATCAGCAGTGCAAGAAATAAACAAGGGAAGACTCACTTTGTCCTTGTGGCTGGTGTGAATCTTGGTGTAGATGGTATTATTAGTAAAAATCTGATCCCTGTTTGATTCCTCACTGTGTGAAACTTATTTGTGAAAATAAACTTAGATTCAAAAATTGGGATCGGTGTGAACATGTTAGGCTTATGTTGTCTTTATTGGTGTGTGTAATAGGGGAGTGATATTTTGAACATGAAGGAAGGTCATAGAATTTGGGGTGGGGAAGATGTCCCATGTGTGGTCAGTGCTGAGAGATTTGGCGGGATAAGAAAAGAGTGGGAACAAAGAGAAAAGTACTAAAAATAAAATGAAAGAAAAAGAAGAGTAAAGGAACAGCAAAAAAAAAAAAAAGATAAAACATCTTGATAAAAAAAATTATTTTGGAAAACCTTTGTCAGAAAATGGCAGGTGCAAAAAGAAAATAAATAAATAATAATACAGGAAAAAAAGCTGGGGGGGGAGCACATACAAAAATAAATGCAGCATGTGCATAAGTGCACTTAACAGCATGTAAATATATACTAGCTACCACATAAACTTGTAAAATCATAGGTGTTAGAGCAGAAAAATATAGTAGGTGGGAAATGGCTGTTAAAATTTAGGTTTAAAATGGTGGGGCTATTCATTCGCAGAGTGTTGTTGCTGGTAATGGGTTTCCTTGTGGAAATTGTAATCTTTCAGTAAACCCAAATCTCTGTTTAGTCCTTTTATGTGGGAATTTACTTGTAGAATGTACTTCAACCCTGATCTGCA